AAATGGCCTAAAATTTTAATTTTGCATACCAAAAATGGCAAAATGGTAAGATTTTAAGACGAATATTTATTTATTATAAATCAGCATATAAAAGGAATAAGATATGAAATATAATTTTATGTAAGAAAATCAGACAAAATTGTTTATTTTACAATAAATTAATGCATATAACTTAAGATAAGTTGCGACAATCTGAATATATTTTATAATAAAAGATAAATATTTATTTTATAATTGGAAAAATATAATAGAAAAATTAATTTTATTAACTAATAAATACAAAAAATATTTTTTTTAATGATTTCATTGCAAGAAATTAAAATTGTTGGTTTAATTTGATAAATTAGGCTAGCAAAACTATTCTTGATTTCATTTGCACAAAATTGTTTATAAATAAATAATTTTTATAATCATTAAAATAAGCAAAATTGTGTATTTATATAATAATAGCATAAAAAATATATTCTTCCAGCAATAGTTTTTAATGAAGAGGCGGATTCCATATTCCCTCTCAAGTTTTGGCACTGTAAAAAAAACTGATGCAGGTTAGGATATGGGATAACATTGATTTAAATATAGATTAATTTTTTTATTTGCATAATTTAAATATAGATTAATTTTTTTATTTGCATAATTTAAATATAGATTAATTTTTTTATTTGCATAATTTAAATGAAATTTTTAAAAATCCATAAATTTTAGAAATAATTATTAGTTTGTGCATTAGTTAAGTAAGTTTGAACCTTACGCGTAGCAAGGGAGAGGGGGGGGGCAATAAGAAGTTAACCTCTCCCCTTTGGAAATCTGCCTGTTCTCTTTAAATATCATTCTAAACTGATAAAAATTATTCCCATACATAGCCCCCACTTTCCTCTCCCCCAAAAATGTATACAATACACTATAAACAAGGATTTAAAAAAATTAGCAAAATTTAACTTTTTAAAATAAAGACTATAATTTTAATTTTTTTTAAAAAAGAATTTTTATAAAAAGTTAAAAAACATTATTATTTTTGTAAAATTCTACCATAGCAAAAGGTCTATACTAAGTGGACCTAAAAACCTTCAAAGAAATTTCTTCTTTTTTTGGGGGGGGGGGACCAGTGTGCCCCCCCCCTAGCAAAATCCTGGTCACGCTTAGCTAATAGTATATAATTATCAAATGCATCAACCAAATTTATAATAAATAAAAATTAAAGTTTACAACTTTCTCACGATGAAGTAGTAAGGTGTGCAAATGGATCATACATTATGAGAGCGCAGGATACTTTGCTCTATTCGACATGGTCACCCTGTAGTCTTAAAACCTTGCGAGAGGTAATGCCTAGGAATATTTGCTTACTTAACAAGGTGTATACTCCTCCATTATTTGATCCTCAAAATACTCCTGGTCAATTAGTTTTAAGTCATCAACAATGTGAATCAGTATTGGGGCCCGGCTCCTATGCGTACAGCAATAATTTGAGTGCTATTTGCCAAGAATTAGTGTGTTATGTTCCGGGAAAGCCGATGATATATTACTATACCGGTGCATTGGAGGGAACATATTGTGGTAATCGTAAGTGGTGCAAGGAGGGTAGTTGCAAATCTTGGCCTAAAGATGTTGTCCTAGAATCCGTGGACGGAGAATACGGCCCCTGGAGAAAAGGTTTGCCAACTCAATGTATGAATCCTTGCATTGAAAATAGTATAGGAATACAAGAATGGAACAGAACTTGTAATAGTCCTTGGCATAAAAATGATGGAAAGCCATGTGAATATGGCCATGTGGATATCATGAGACTTAAGTGCTACGATTTTATAGTAATTAAACTTATTATTTTCATTGATAAAGTTTAAAAAATAAAAAAATGGATATCATAATTTTTTATTTGAGCTAATGTTTTTAAATATTTTTTAATAAAAGTATTTTAATTTCCACTATATTCCATTAATTAATTTTTCTATACCTTAATCAGCCATGCGATAAATTGCAGAAAATAGAAAATAATAATAGCTTTGACAAAATCGATTGTTTGAACAATACAAAGTTAGGAATATTTTTGACCGGCAAAAAAATTCATCAACCAACTAAATGTAGATTCATTTGCGAAGAAATTCGAAACTTTAATATCATCAATAAAAATGATAAGAGTTTTAGCGTAACTAAATCATCAAAAAAAAATCAACCCTTTATAATCAAATATCCTGAAGGGGCGTTTTGTAGCTATGAAAAGGAAACAGGGGAACCCATGTATTGCGTGTCTAATAAATGCCGTTTTACAAAAACATTCGCCGAAATAAAGAGTTTTCAGAATGATTTGAGTTATCACATCAATTATATTGCCACAACTAGTTCTAGGAATAGGGTGGTATTTAATCAAACCTATCCACCTCCTACTCCACCTTTTATGGATCCAAATAGTGGGTTATATGATATCTTGCTCAAAAGTAACCAAACATCCAATGAGTCCGAATTTCCTTTCGATGGAGGAACTTTTCAACCTAATAGATACGAGTTTATTGATGTTCCACTAAATCCTGAGCGAGATTATGATGAGGAAAAAATTCTTAAGAAAGAAAGAAAAAAAATATCTAGGCTTGAAGATAATTTTAATTTGTACAAAATGAGATCAAAAAATGATTATTTCACCAAAATATGGACATCTTGCGCCTTTATATTGGGGTTAGTGCTTATCGCCTCCTTGGTATATATTGTGTACCATTACCAATATGGAATTCTTCACAAAAATAGATCCAACTCAACTCAAAACTTAGCAGATTACGAAACCGAAAATGTTACAAAAGTTATGACGTTTGAAGAGAGCAGTAAGCAAGATACTTACACCGATAATATGGGACACGAATGTGTTTACAATCCAAATACCGAAAAACACAAATTTGATTATAAAACTTATGCAGATCATTACAAATAATGATTATTTTTAATGCATTCATTCAACCTAATAATGTTTTGATATAATAATGCTAAATAAAACTAATTTTTTTTCGTTTTAACTAAATTTCTATTCATTTGAACTATAACCCTAAGGAAAATTATTAATAAATTTTCTCTAGTTATTTTTTTTGTCAATGACGCTAATAAACCCAATAGTAACCTTAAACATGTATAAGGAAGAAGATATAAAAAACAAATATTGTTATTTGATACTACATAAATATTAAAATATAGTATGTAATATTCAATTTTAGTAATATTTTTTTTATTAACTTGAGCAGCCAAAAAAATACATCTAAAATTGTAGACCCTGCTTTTTAAAAGTTTTTAAATTTAATAAAATTTAATCCTTAAAGGTTTATTCCAATATGATCGATCAATATATCCGAAAAGATGTAAGCAATATTTAATTATATATATATTTCAGCAAGGCTAATTTAAAATACTTATTTTTGAAAGAATTTGTTAAGGTTATTTGGAATTAAAATGAAGTTTATTCTATGTGTCATTTAGTAAGTAGTGCTCTTTCTATTATTTACAAGGCATTGCTAAAATTTTATGGCCTCTTCTTCCGATTGCACGCATCTTATGAAATAAAATATATTCTATACAAAAAAATTTGCTAAAAACCCTTAACAACATAAAAAACCAAGCATGCAGAGTGAGTTGGGCAGGTCCATACTTAAAAAAGTCTATATACAGATTCTTTATTTAAAAAAGTGTATATTCGATACAAATATAAGTATCTTATTAAAATGATACGTAATATAAGATACTTGTATCTTAAAATATAACTGAGGTCTATAAATAATATCAATAATAATAATAAAATGCTGTTAGAATAGCTATTAATGGTAGCGCGGCTACTTTTATATAAAAATATAATTAATAACGGATAACTTCTTTAGAGTAGCCATAGCTAAAATTAATTACATATTTAGCTACATTAAAAAATAATAATACAATTAATATTTTATTATGATGTATATAATTAATTTTAAATTATTTAATTTTATAATTTGAATAAATAAAATGGCTATATTATAAAAAATAATATAAAATCCTTTCACTTCTAAATTTTGAAATCGGATTGATGACATCTTTTGGCTCCTGAATTTTTAAAAAAAGTTGGACATGGTTGAAACTAGAAATGAACAATAATAAAAGATAAGCTAATTTGTAGCTAAGAGCTATGCATCTCCTTATCTTCAATCATAACATCAAAAAAGAAAAAAAAATTTTAGACATAATTTTTAAAGTAGATTTATAATTTGCTTATTTAATAATAACTAATTTTCAAAATGTTTTGTATGCGAATACTGTCCGCCAAGAATAATTTCCCAAAAAGGTAATCATTATATTTCAGAATTCCTCTAATTTTGTGATAGAAACATTGGATTTCGAATGACGAATCTTGTTATATAGAAATTAATCGAAACTCAATATCTTTTGATGGTATCTCTAAATATGATGTATAGTTTATATATTATAATATAATTATTTTTTAATGTGGGCACTAAGATTGGGTGGAATAAAATATTCCCTTGATAATATTTTTTGGGCTGCATAAAATATAAATTCAGCTTATCTTTAAAAATGTACTATCTAGATAGAATTTTCATGCGAAATAGGAGATATCAAAGGATTACATAAGCATTTTATATATACTAACATTTTTTTTATAAAGAGAGCTTAACTGTTAATTTTTTAAAGTAAAGCTTACAGCACTGCTATTTATCTACCCTATTTGATGAAGTATAGGTTGAAGAATTAATAATTTATCCATAAATAAAAAATCTAATCAAAATAAAAATATATATCAGATACTCAAAAAATAAATTATGATTCTCTCTAAATTATAGTATATTTAATCTATTAAAAGAATTCCCATCCTTCTAAAGGTAAAAGAAAATCAAACATTTCCATGGGACGCAAATCAGCTTTCAAACGCGACTTATTTTACGCTATTATAATGACTTCTTTGGTGTGGATTCTGATAGATATATTCGTCTTGATGATCTTAGTTGAGAAAAATTTACTTCGTATATCAATGCGCAAAAAATGCGAAATTAATCTACACGATCTACATAATTATTATAATAGCACCCCTGAGTATGATCCGATATTAAACTATGACCCTCCATACGTAGGTAATGGGAATGATATTGAACGAAGTATATTTTATATACATATGCATATTTATATTTTATAAAAATAGATATTCATAGGAATAAAAGGATTTTATTAAATGATATAACAAGGATTAGCTCTTTTATATCTCAATTTTATTTTCAAAATATTATATGTTAAATTTAGTTTTCTTTTTTTGGCAACTTGTTTTTTCGCCCTACTTACCACTTAAGAGTTATTAAATGAAATATTTGATTAGCCATTGTAAGAAAATCATACTTACTAAGAAATATAAAGTAGTTAGCTTAATAAAATCAATTTAACGACTTACTTCAATGCTATTCATTCAAATAATTTGTAGTTGGTATGCCAGACGATAGCGATACGAATGTAACAACTAATAACCCCGAATTTAGGGTTATTCCTAAAAGTAAAATTATATATGTATGGTTCATAAATTACGCACCATAGGCACCTGCAAGAAGTTTTCTAGGAGATGTCATTTTATAAATTAAATTTTTTATTAATATTTATTAATTTACAACGCAATTTAACAAAATTGAATTTTATCCGGGATTCAGATATGAGGCGATGGATATGTCTAACATGGATAAAGATTAATTACACATTGTTTATAGAAGATAATTTTGACCAAAACAAATTTATAATTGGGAAAGATAAGACTTAAACTTAAAAAGGGTCTGATCTATTGATTTTTAAAAAACATTGTATTGTAATCAGGGTTTAATATTTTCTCAAAATTCAAGATCTTTAAAGATCCTTGCTCTTTTGAACAGAAAATGTGAAGATTTTTTTGTAAAAAAAAATTTTAAAAAAAATCCTCTTTTATTTTCCCTTTGTTGTTTCTTTTTGAAAAAGAATAAAAAAAATTTTGAGCATGCTCAAAGGAAGATTTTTTTACAAAATCATTTTTCATTTTGCTCAAAAATCTTTTAAAATTTTTTTTATGAAAAGATCCTCAATTTTTTTGATTTTTAAAGATTTCTTGCTCAAAATTTTGGGCACTGAAGATTTTTGTTAAACCCTGATTGTATTCATAGGAAAATATTGATTTATTTACAAATTGAAGTTGTGCTGACTTTCTCTCTCTTTCCACATTTGATATTATAAATTGTTGTGAAAATTGTTATGTAATGATTAAAAATATCTTATTGATATTTTTAGCGAACTAATTTTTAAACTTTAAATTAATGAGCGCGTTTTTTAAAATTTAAACAACCTGACTTTGCCGGAACTTGTTTCCAATTTAAATACCTAGCCTATAAATTTCAGATAATTTTGAAAAAAACTAATTTGGAAAAATTATTGAAAATTTATATAAATCAAAATTTTTTCAAAGGGTTTATTTTGTAAGTTGTCTGAAATTTATAGGAAAAGTATTCTGCCCATATTGGAATGCATTTCCGGAGTTTCAAATTCAAAAAACGCGTTCAATAAATTATTTAAAATAAAAAAAAAATAAAATAAAACTGTTAATTTAATTCGTAAACTTTGAAAACTTTATCAAATAACATGAAATAAGTGTTTTTTTAAATAAAGAAATAAACATAATTTTGGTTTCCTTAAAGTTTTAAAACTTTTGAAAGTTCTAAAACTTTTGAAAGTTCTAAAACTTTTGAAAGTTCTCAAACTTTTGAAAGTTCTCAAACTTTTGACTGCTTTAAAACAGGCTTTGAACGCTGCTTAAGGAGCCTTATGTTAAATAGACCCGCCCAATAAATATTTATTAAGGCCAAAATTTTTATAAAAAATAAACATTGTTTGTTTTAATATTATTTATTATTAAATATTTCTTTTTCATTTTTTGCGTTTATGTTTACAAATGGTAAAATTTGAAATATATATTTTACAATAGAAAGTTATATTTGTTCAGTTATAATAAATAATTCATTAGAAAGTGAACGTAAATTAGTTATTTTTAAAAAAGTAACTTGTAACTAGGTTACTTCATAAAATGTATTTTATAACTATAATCAGTTACTTTTCAAAAATAACTTTAATACTACTAACAAATGTCAATGTTACATTAAATATACAATAAATATTCGATAAATTTATGAAGAAACAGGTTATATAAGATTAGGTTTAGGAGAAAATGGATCCAAGATAATATTATCGGATGATTATAATGATGCGAGGGAAAAAAGATTTCACGAAAATCAATTTGATGTGTTTGTGAGTGAATTGATAGCTCTCAATAGGACTCTTCCAGACACTAGAGCACCAGGGTTATCATTAAATTATACCTTTCAAATAATGTAGCTAACAGAATTAATAATATATACTACACAAATTATTAAGCATTTAAATAAATCTTGCTTCATATTTTATGTTGTTAATATATTTACTTTCTATAAATTGAGTCACCAATTCTGGTATATTATCATTTCCTACTACTCAAAAAATCGTAACAGATGTTATGCCAAACAATACCCATGGAATTTACCCAATTCCAGTATTATCATAGTATATCACAACGAAGCTTGGACTACTTTGCTGCGAAATGTTCACAGCATAATCAATCGCACGCCTAAAGATCTATTAGTTGAAATCATTTTAGTAGATGATTTCAGTGATATGGGTAATTTATTATCATTTTCAATTTATCTTAAAATCTATGCAATAGCACATCTCGGAAGACCTTTAGATGATTATATAAAGACTTTAGAACAAATAACCAGAATAGTAATTATTCGATTACGAGAAAGATCGGGTATTATAAGAGCTAGATTGGCTGGATCGAGGATTGCTGTCGGTCAAGTTTTGACGTTTTTAGATGCTCATTGTGAAGTGAATGATGGATGGTTAGAGCCACTACTCAGTGAAATCTATGACGATAAGTAAATCCAAGAAACATTTGTAATTGAAGAGAAATTAGAAAAAATGGTGTAGAGGTTAAAAATGTTTGAGTGTATATTATTAAAAATAAGCCACTAACAAAATAAATAAACTATCATTTATATATGCAGAACAAAAGTAGTAGCGCCAATTATAGACGCAATAGATGCCCATTCATTTGAATATGTGCCTGGAAACGATTTAAAGATTGGAGGTCTTGACTGGTTCCTTAACTTTAGATGGTACGATTGCCCTGTTAAAGAAATGGAGAGACGTAATCATGACAGATCTCAACCTATATTGTAAACTATTTAATAAAAATCTCCCGTTCAATCAATATTCATATGTTTTAGAGTAATAATAAATGTTTATGTTATTTGTTAGAACGCCAACCCATGCAGGAGGCTTATTTTCTATTGACAGAGATTATTTTAAATATTTGGGAGAATATGATGAAGGAATGGAAGTATGGGGTTCCGAAAACTTGGAGTTATCGCTAAGAGTAATTTTATTTTTTGATACTTTTGTGAAAAACCCTAGTAAAATTTTGATTTAATAAAAATGAATATCAATTATTTTTCTCATGTAAAATTTTTTTAAGCCTTAGCTAAAATATCATAAAGTAGTCATTCCAAATTTCAGTCCTTACCAAAACCCCCATAAATAAACGCCCTGCAAGGATCTATCCGAGTTCGACCATTCTATTATCGTCTCGAGTGGGCGTCGATATTGATCTTAAAATTATTATTTGAAGCTCGCAACTAATGTTTTATAAATCTTTCTTTCTAGAAAAAAAAAATTAAAAATTTCTTATATTCCTTTACCGCCTTTATTCTTTCGCCTTTTCTTGAAGAATTTGAAAATTGTATGTTTTTCAAAGTTTTTTTTATCATGGAAATGGAATATAGAATTTTAGAGAGAAAATCGAGCCAGGTTATTCGATAAATTTTTTAAATAATATTTGTGGATGGTAATTTTTTTCAAAACTTGAATCATTCTGTTTTTCAATTTTTGTTAGCATTTACTAAATAAAATAATATAAGTCGTTTTACTTCCTGAGATGGAAAATTTTTCACTAACAATATTGTGTTTAGCGTAAATGTGTTTTTTTGTCAATATCTTATTTTCTCCAACGTGAAATCATTTTTAGAGCCACATTTTTTAGATTTAAAAATTTGATTTTAACAGAAATATACTCCAACATGTTTGAAATAACTACCCCTATGAATTCAGACAATTTTTTTGTAAACTCTTGGTAATATGATTTATATAAAATATCGATTAAAACTATTATAAATTATATTAAGTTCAAAAGTTCATGGCAAAGTTTCTAAAAATTGCAATATAGAATTTCTAAACGTGGAATGCATTTCCCTATCAAATTAGATTTTAAATTGTAAAAAATGCGCTCAAAATTATGATTTAAAAGTTTAAAAAAATAACACATTGACTGAAAAAACACTTAACACTAACATTGTATTGTTAAAAAGGCAGGTTCGAGTCGATTTTTAAATATGGCTCGATTAAGATTTTAGCCAAAATAATATTATGTAAGCCTCGAGATTTGGTAAATAGAGATCCAAGCCTTTCTGCCATCTATAAGTAAACTCTTCAGGCTTACATAATATTATTTTAGCTAAAATTATATTCGGGCCGGTTTTAAAACTTAATCCGAATCGAGTTATTGACAACACTACACTAACATATATACACAACATGTATTATATTTAATGGTCGAACTCGAATATACATTATCCATTTATTATTAGTTTATTTGCAAACTATTTATTTTTTAATAGTAATTTTAAATTTTTTCTAATGATATTTTAAAATTAAAAAGGTTACGAAAAATTTTATGTTATAGGTGTGGCTATGTGGAGGAACTTTAGAAATAATACCCTGTTCTAGAGTAGGTCACGTGTTTCGTGTTAATTCTCCTTACACATTTCCAGGTGGAGCTCTAAACGTAATCCACAGAAATCAGAAGCGTTTAGTGGAGGTTTGGTTTGATGAATGGAAAGATTTTTATTACAAAGCCAATAAGGGTAAAATGTTTAAAAAAATCGCTCAAAAAATTTGATTCTAATTTAAATTCCCAAATATTTAGCTTTAATCTCTGAGTTACTTTTTTTTAAATACTAGTGCACACAATTATATACAAGTCATTAAAACTTCAGGTAGGGGTAGGTGGGAGTAAACTAAGTTGTATCTTCTAAATTAACATACACAACCATTGTCCATTTATTCAAGTCAACTATAAGGGGAAGGTAGAGTAGTACCAAGATCATCGGCTTAGAGGATGTAGATCTAAAGGGCTCCAAATAATATTCATAAAGTCTTATTTTCATCTCATTTTTTTTGAAAATTGACTACTTATCATTTATTATATTTAAATTGAAATATTGAAACAATATATTTTCTAATTATATCTCTTCTTTTTTTCTATAAAATAGATAGTTTGAAAATCAATGCTGGTTATTTTGGCGAAAGACTGGAATTGAAGAAACGATTAAATTGCAAACCCTTTCGTTGGTTTTTGGAAAATATATACCGAGATTTTCAGATGCCTTTAAATTTGTCTTCTCTATACTATGTAATTAAATTGATTAATATTTTTTTTAAATTAAAATTTTTTTTTTTAGATATACCAATTAATAATTATCTAAATTTTTTTATGATTAAATTATATTGATTTATAGGTATAATACGTTATTCATACTTAGTATTTCAAAAACAATTTTTTTTTTAATTGCAAATAATGTTGACGGCTAGATTTGAGCCAATTTTTAAAAATGGCTATATTTTAAAGACAGAAAAATGTTACATAAGCCTGAAGATTTTGTCCATAGATATCATAAATGTTTGGACATATATTTGGGAAATCTCGAGACTTGTGCAATATTTTTAAGCAAAAATATTGAGTTAAAAAATTTTAAAAATCAGCTCAAATCAAGTCGCTTAACAACACAACTTGTAGATCATAAAAAAAATTAAAAAATGATAGATTCACGGAGAAAATTCATCTTTATGCATGGACAGTAGGAGGGGAGACGCAAAGGACGATTTGGAATTGTTTAAATGTCATGGTGGTCATGGTCAGGTTTTCCCTATTTTAGAAATTTTTTTCAATGATGTTTAGTTTGGTAATATAGTTAGTTATTTGCTTTATTTTTAACCTACTAAAAAAAACGGCGAAGCCTAGTTTTTAGCCCGAAAACTGTCACATTAATCTGGGATTTTCTTAATTTATGATTCAGTGCTTGATAAATTTGTTTTGCCGCGCGTCTGTAGACTGAATGAATTTGCCGATTTTTTTTTAGCAATTACTTAACTATTATATATGTAATCTGGGAATGGAATATAGAATTTATAAATTTTTTAGGATAAAAAAATAAGCATTTTACAAATTTAGATTTTTTATCATGACCATTATAATCAACTTCGAAACGATGATTTTTGCGTCGAATATTGGCCAATAAAACAATCTTTGAGGCTTAAATTTTGCAATAATCAAAATCCAAATCAAAAATGGTTCATAACAAAGGTAAAAGCATTAAAAATAAAAATATATATAATTTTTTTTTAAATTTGATAGACAGGGCATATCAAAAGTGCGTATAATGTTTCATTATGTATTAGCAGTGAGATTCGATTGGAGTTGAACTATGAAATTGGTGTTGTGTTATGCGAAGGTAGTAATAATATCAAATGGATCTTCGAAAACATCTTTTGATTTCCATTTTAAATAGAATAAATATTCGCTAATAGATTTTATTTTAAAAAATATTTATTTTTCAGTATTTTTGTTGTATTATAAATATCTCGGTATTGAACTCCATGCTCCTATTAATAAAGGATTAGTATTAATATTTTTTCCTACACAACAAAATGAATTTTCAATATAAAATATTGAAACAAGTATATATTTATAATGTCTTATTTTGAAAAAAAACATACTTTATTGATTCTTAATATATAATATTTTATGGCCAGATTTTGTCAATTATATAGCAATGCGGAATGAAATATTAAAAAAAATATATTTATATTGATCTGAGTGCAAATGTTTTATAGGGGTAAATTATAAAAGTGTATATAAAGGTCATAATTTTATCGTGATTAGCAGGCTTCTAATATAATTTTTTTTTAATATACGATGTTAAAGTTTGGAAAACTTGATAAAAAAAATGTTGGTTAATTAAAATATTCATGGGAGTCAGCCAAATATAATATTTTAATATTTAAAAAGTGATTTATACTTGTCAAGATAAAATTTAATTGTCAGTTTCATCCAACCAGGGTTGCCATGGCAGACAATAAATAATTTTATTAAAAGGCATGGGATTTTATTCTCTTATTAATATTACTAGAAACTATATTGATTGAGTGAAAGTCAAAAGTCGGGTTTTTTTCAGCTTGGACTACGATTTAGATAGAACCGTGAGGTTTGGTCTTTAGAATAGGTTCCATCGTTCTGTTCGATTTTTGCAATCGACAATTTGGCTACCAATCGATGAATTTTAAGGTATAACCTTTATCAAACCAAATTTAAATGAACATAAGAATTAACAAATGTAATAAAGCCATAAAAGGCAATTATATATTTTTAAATAAGTAAATAATTAAACATTATTACTAATCATCCTCCTCAGGTGATGATCAAGAATCTTTATATAATTTAATATGATGGCATATTTTAAAGATAATTTATCGTTTGATCGGAAAGGCGCTTGAATGTTTTCGGGCTCTTTTAGCTGATAAGTTGATGGGATTTATGAAATTAACAATATTAAAATGTTTTAGAGTTTTAGCACCTAACCAAGTGGTATTCATACTAGAGACCTTCATGGGCCGGGCCGGGCTTGGGCCTAATTATAAATTTTCTAGCGGGTCTGGGCCGGGCTTGGGTTCGTTGGAAATTTTTGCAATAGGGCTTGGGCCGGCCTTGGGCCTAAATTTTTAAATTCAAATTTAGCTTATTTTAAGGATATTTAATAGGACAAATATAACAAATCATTCTGATTTTATTAGCGTTATTTATCAAATTTCCTATACACCTTGGGAGAGTATATATTTTTTAAATCGGAAATTAATATAATTTTACTTAACTTAACACAACGGCCTGGGCACGAAACAGCGAAAAAAGAAACAGCGAAAATCAGGGAATATTCCCAAAAATGTTCCCAAAGATGGCCAAACTTCGAGGATTACTAGAGCTACCAGTAATTTATTCTTTATAAATCTTTTTAGCTATATAATATTTTTAGCTTCATCCTCATTATTGGATATGTCTTCATGGGAGGATGATACAATACTTCATAATGAGACGGATGCTGATGAGATTAATTTATATATGGATATTCAGCTAAATGAAGAGGATATCAACTATGATGACTGCATCCTAGATTGGTGGAAGAAGCATGAAAAAATATTGCCAAAATTGGCAAGATTAGTTAAAAAAATTTATGCAATTCCAGCATCTAATGTTTCCAGTGAACGGAATTTCAGTACTATTGGAAGGGTTATTGAAGAAAGAAGAACAAATTTAAATAACGAAATTGTAGATAATATATTATTTTTAAATGATTATTTGAAAATATAAATTAAAATTTTGTTTATATCATTTATTAATATTATATATATATATTATTACTAAATAAAATATTATATTTCTATTAGTATTACTTCAGCATAAGTGCTGGGCCTGGGCTTAAAAATTTTTTTTACGATTTAGGCTCATGAAGGTCTCTAATTCATACATAAATTTACTTATTTTTATTTTGGTTTTCAAATTCTGCATTTTATCATTATTTACTCCACTACCAAATATTATTTGCCTTTAAAGACGTTAATTATGTTATACAAAGTTCATAAATAGGAGATCCACGTGATCAACTGGTTCTAATATTTATTTATTATACACATTATTAATAGATTTCCTTGTATATCTCTACTAGCTTGATATTATTAAGCCATTCTAAAAATTCAAATTCAATTTTGTAATAACAGATATTTTGTTCAATAAAAATAGGTCCAAATCACGGTCCATTTAAGTCTTTAGGATGTGTCCTAGGTTGGTCTAATTTACTTAATTCTTTTTAGTATAGGCTAAAAGGGATTTGAACGTGGACAACCTAATTTAGCTTGTTTTAAGTACCAACAAGTTCGTCTTTTTTTAAATAAGTATACTTAAAAGCCTTAAAAGGTTAATTTTATCTGTATGTGACTATTGTTCAAAATCTTTGTTTTAATTCTTAATAGAGAGAAAATTGAATAGTAAATATCATAATTATATAGAATAAATATGCTAAACTAATTAGTAATATAAAATATATACAGTATATATTTTTGTAATGAATTTAATTTCTATGCACAAATAAACCTAATTATGTTTATTTTATTATAAAAGTCTTAACAATTATGGTAAAATGAGTAGATTAGAAACCAATACCATTTGGTTAATAACATATAAAAATTAAAAATATTTTATTCTATAAGTTGTCCTGGTCCTACTGTTAATGTCTGTCTAGCAATCCGAGATTTAGGGTTCAGCAAGGTGAAATTGTTTCACGTTTTTTTAAAATGAATTTGATACAAGATTTTATAATATCACAGGAACAGTAAAATTTTTTAAAATTTAATTAGTGTTGTTAAATTAGATTTATTGGAGATATAATTTTGTAAAAAAAACACTGTATACCAGATTGGCCTTGCACGTAAGAATAAAAGATATGAAACAAAAATCTAGCGTTGCCGAATGATAAAAAAAATTGTATATGTTATAGTTTGTACTTAATCTTTTAGGTTTTGAATATTAGAAGTTTAGTTAACATCATTATTATTATTAATTTGGGTTCTCTATTCAAATTTATATTTCAAATATTAGATTATAATTTTAATTATTATTATTACGATTAATTTTGTTCGCCATGCAAATTTATATTTCGTATATTAAATTATAATTTTAGTTAGCATTATTATTATTAATTTTTATTCGCCATGCAAATTTATAATTTTGAATTTTTATGAAAAAGGATTTTTAATGGCTAGCAAAAAATATATAAATAGCCAAGAAAAATAATTATAAAACACCGATGATATTTTGATTATTAATTTAATAAAAGATTTTACAGACGATATTTTGATTATTATTTTGGATTTGATAGAAGTTGAATAAAGAGTAAAAGTAGTGAATTAGTATTAGAAATTATTAATAATTATATATTTATTTATTTATTATTAGTTCCATAGATATTCAGTCTCTCCCACTAGCCTCAGCAATATAAATATCAATCCCATATTGGTACAGTATATTTTAAGTTTACATTGTAAATATTATTGTCTCTTTACTATTTATAATTTTATCGTCTGATATATATAAAAATTATTTTTCTTATAATAACTAATACTCTTTTTCACTCTCAATGACGTATTTTTTTATAACTAAAAATAGAGGAAATAATTTTCATGGAACTGTTGCCAATCTATGCTCTAGCAGCCTATGCTGATTCACAAGAAACATCTCAAATAAATGAAATATATTTAAATCGCCATGATATAGGATGGTTTCAAAATTCATTTAACGAATTATTTATGAGGATGAATATTTCAATCAATTTTATATGATTGCATCATTTATGCATCATATATCTATAAGATATACAATATGTAATCAAGAAAGACTGGCTATTAATCTATGGTATATTTTCTCATATAAATATAATTTAAACTAATTTAAAATTAAATGAGTGGCTTGCTCAAAGTCTTAATTTCTTCTTACTTAATCTTAATTTTTTCTTACTTTTTTGGCTATTAAGTATTAAGCCGACCTAGGACACAGCCTTACATTTTGATTTAAAATTTATTTAAATAAGCTCAGAATAAACATGATAAAATAAGGAAATTAATCAAATTCTTCTCTTTGAAATTAATCTTAAAATATTAATAATTTTAATAAAAATGTATAGCCAATCATATTTAATCGGATAATCTACCGCAAAATCATTTTCAGCTAATGCATGATGAATGGGCACAAATGTATTATTGCGCCGGAATTTTCAATCTGGATATGGAACCTGATTTTAATATTATGATTGTAAGTTTATTTTTAATAATTCCATTGAGTTCAGTAGTTATGATATATGACTTGCATTCCTTATCCGATCATGTTAATTAATTTTCCTGAAACAAATTGAAATTATAAGTTATTTTTCTTTTATCAAGTTGATACATATGGTCACAAGCGTAATTTATTTCAGCCAAAAAATTAATATAATATGCTTGCTCACAAAACACGAATAATTATATTTTAAAATTAATTAAATTCTTTTGTTTTGTAAGTGACTTTATCTTACAAACTATATTTTTTTATTTGACTTCCGCTTGCCATGTCCAAGGAAAGAGATAGCAATTGGTAAGGAAAACCTAATTTGTACATTTCGAATATTTAATCATTTTCTCGGCTATATTAATCGTAGAATTTAAATTTTTGGAATTGAAGAGACTCATATGAAGTCCCAAATTAAGAAGTTACCTAACGACCAAGGTAAAAAAGTTAAAAACCCTGGTCTCAGGCCTTCATCTGATTATCCCCTCTCTAACGGCTTTAAATTTTCCTTCCAAAATAGGCCTCGGAATTTGTCGTCTAATTTTCAGAGTTGTTAAACGTTATTTTTAAAAGTAGCGCGCTACCGCTTTCGCTATTTGTCAAAAAAAGTAGCGCGCTATTAGCTA